GTCGACAACACACGTTCACTCAGGAATAAAGCTGCTTCAGGACCTCCTCTGATCCCCATATGTAAGAATATAGCTAAACCTCTAAAAGCAATACCTAAGAATAACAGTCGTAAGGTTGGAGGGAGACTATAACAGGGAAGTGCTTTCACGTTCGATTTCTTACAACATTGGCATAATAGTGGATTCTAACAAATGTTTGTTAACGAAAAATGTCTCTGGTTAAAGAAAGATTATCTCAGCTTCTTCATAGGGAGTGTTTCGAATGTCTAAAATGTTTAGGAAGCGCCCACTATGCACTGAAGAAGCAGTACATTCCGGCTGTTGATACTGAGATCACACAGAGCACATATCACATAGAGAATGACTTTTTCACTGAAGCCTTTTCTAGTAGAAAGAGAAAGTGAGCGCTCCTTGCCATAAACCTCCCTATCAAGTCTCACTCCCTTACTCTACTGGTGTGACCTCCAGGGATTCCTGCTAGATGCGTGGTATTTCTAGGGAGTTTATGGCAAGATTTACTGTCTGGCCTCAGACCCAAAGGGCAGTCTTCTTGGAAAGTTTTACTGGGAGGACCAGAAAACACTGCAGATGTTTGTCAGTGCCTTGATTCATGTTGCCCAGTCAGGAGTGGGTGGTGTGGGGAAGGGTGGTTTTAGAGGAAGCGGGAAGAGAAAATAGACTTTTAAAAGTCATACACATCAGTAATACATGAATACATCCCCTTTCTACAATTTGAGAAAATGACAGCTATCATTTCAGCTCAGCCTAAAATCCTCGGTGACACATATATTAGCCTGTTCAAGCCACCATAACAAAATTCCACAGACCAAGTGCCTAAATCAACAGAAACGTATTTTCTCACACTTCTGTAGATTGGAAAGTGTAAGGTTGGGGTTCTCATGGGGTTTGGTTTCTAGTGAAGGCTCCTGTTTGGGTTCACAGCCAACCAGATGCCTTCTTATTTTGTCCTCAGGAGTCTGTCCCTTGGTACACATTGTGGAACAAGGAATCCAGAGAGAGAGAGAGACAGAGAGAGACAGAGAGACAGAGAGACAGAGAGAGAGAGATCCATTATATAGAGGCAATAATCCCATCGAATCTGTCTCCACCTGTACCCTTCTGGCCTCACTAACCCGAATATCTCCTTACTCGGAATGCAGCCATTTTTGCATTAAGGCTTGTGATGTCATATTGTTCTGGAAAGATGAGAACAAATGTCTATTTACCCAGAAAGGGAGCCATGGGCAGACCACAGAATACCACCAAAGTCCAGCTTAGCGAGCCAATGAGTTTAGCAGGGTCACTCGCAGAAGCATGCAATGGTGATAGGCTAGTCACAGGAACAGAAATGACTCAAAAACAACTGTATCCCCACAATATCACTCCAGCATGGGTGACAGCTCACAAAAACTGGAAACCTGGATGGAGCACACGGCCCAGTCTGCAGGTAGCTCAGTTGGTTGAAGCCTCTTCTAGGCAGCCTGGGCTGTGTGTGGGTGTGTGTCATTGTCCTCACTGCTTATGTATGCTTATGTATGCTTGAGGAGGAGGGGGTCCTGGTATTTCTGGTCAGTTGTATGGACTTGTGAAACTCTGGGTTGTTTGCTTCCTCAGCATTAACAAGCCTGACCTTAGAACATCATGGATAATACCAAATTTCCCTGCAGAATGTACATCATTCTACGGAGGAAGAAACTGCTATACAATAAATCTGCACAGATGTATTTGGGAGGTCCCAAATATTTAGTTCATGAGAACACCCTTTCCAATTATGACTTCTATTACCATTAAGTGAAGATTTTTCCCCAAAATGAAAAAAATATATTCATAGATTTTATGAAATTATTTTTGCTCTGAGTTTTCAAAAATCTTCCAGTGCATAGACTTTAACACACATACACAGACACACAAATACATATATACATGTATACAAACACCTACATATACACACATATATTCATACACACATATATGTACACACATATATACACATATATACATATATGTATACACATACACACAACACAATATATTAATACACATATATGTGTGTACACACATATATATTTGTATACCCCCACACATATATGCACACACATGTGTGTGTATGTGCACACACATACGCACATAATGTCTTGGCAAGTTTTCACAGCAGCACATAGATACTGACTTTAAAAAATTTTAATATTATGTTTATACTCTTTGAAATGCCTCTTTAAATTTTAACTTTGCATATTAGTCTAAAAGATGATTGCCACACTGAATTAAATATTTTTATTTATTTCTTACTTATTTGTTTGCTTGTTTGGTTATTATTAGGTTTTTCAAGACAGGGTTTTTCTGTAGCTTTGGGGCCTGTCCTAGAACTAGCTCTTGTAGATCAGGCTGGCCTTAAATTCACAGAGATCCACTTGTCTCTGCCTCCTGAGTGCTGGGATTAAAGGCGTGTGCCACCACTGCCCGGATGAATTAACTATTTTAAATAATTGACATCATATTACTGAGCATCCAGCTGTAAACTCTTTCAGTTGCAAACAACTAGACAACGAAAGGCTTCATTTATGCCTCTTGGTGTAAAATCTGATTGTTTCTCAAAGTGAGATCATAAGCCGGGTGGTGGTGGCGCACGCCTTTAATCCCAGCACTTGGGAGGCAGAGGCAGGCGGATCTCTGTGAGTTCGAGACCAGCCTGGTCTACAAGAGCTAGTTCCAGGACAGGCTCCAAAGCCACAGAGAAACCCTGTCTTGAAAAACCAAAGAAAAAACAAACAATCAAAGTGAGATCATAAAACATATGCACTAACAATTTTAATAACTATTGCTCCATTGCTGCCCAAAATGGCTGTACCTACTCAGGGCCTTGCTAGGGCCCTCCTTCATCATCCTTGCTAACACTGATATTATCAAACCTGAGCATTCTTTGCCTATTTGATGAATACAAAAACGAAAGTTATCTTACTGCTTTAACCTGTATTTTTCTGAGTGATGTTGCAGTCCTGCATGGTCTGGGCTAGGCACTGGCCAACAGCATTCCTAAGCACTGCCTCTTTATGTCATCTGCTCATCTTATTCCTAGCATTAAAAGAAAAAAAAAGTATCCAGTCTCTACGACTTGCTACATTTTAAACCTTTGTTAACTGGGTCCTAAATACATCCTCCCAATCTGCCTCCAGCCTTCGTATTACAATTACAGCATTTTTTGACATAGACAGTGTTAATTTTGGAAATAACCAAATTTTCTGATATTTTTTCCTCCTATAATTTTTGCCCTCCATGTCTTAAGAAGGTCGCTTCTGTCCCAAGGTTGAAACTGTCTCCCCTAGCACACTTAGGCATCACATTCTGTTTCTGTTTTAGATATGCCACCAACCTGGGATGGTTTGGAGAGTA